GATTTCTGTTTGGTGCATTTTTATGGTCTCTAATTTTTTGTTAAATTGGTCATTCATGTTTTATATCATTTTGTTCTGCTCAGGTAGCTTTTTATCAACATTTTGTGTAAACTTGCTGATTGTTTTGTTTATTAAGTCCATTATCTGTTTAGTTATATCTTCTTTGAGTTCGCTGAGCATCTTATTGATTTTATTAATCTCCTGTTTTATAGTTTCAAATAATTCAGCTATGTGCCTTTTGATTTCCTCCTCCTCAGTGCCTCATTCTTTGGGGGAGTTGGAAGTTTTGGGAAGCATTTTTCCCTTGTTTTCTCATGTTTGTTTCTTTTTTATGTGTGCTGTGGTTTGCAGGTTGATTATAGTGGAAGACTTTGTTGCTGGTATGGAGACCTCTTTAGTTAGTGTTTGCTTTTCAGTGATGCACTGTATTGTGCATGTGGCTAATTATAGACCTTTGGTTTTGTCTCAATATCTAATAATCTTTGTTTATTTGGGAGGGTAGGATGCACTATAATTAGTCCAGAACTCAGTTCTCTGGGAATAGGCTGCAGTATTATTAACGACACAAAGGCAATCCAGACTTTGGCATACAGAGAAAACCAATTAATAGCAATAACTATGCCACCTAGGCAGTGTTAATAAAATTAGCAACAATAATAGCATCAGAGACAAACTAGAATGCTGACATACCCTGAGAATCTATAATGTACACCCTTAAGCATAGAAGCATAGAAAAGAGATCTATAATTATAATATAAACACTAAGGTAAGCCAAATATTGGCATATAAAGTATCTACTAAGTGCAACAACTACCTCTCTACTAATAATAGGAAAGTTTTCAGCAGTAATATAGTATTGTTACCTGTTTAATGATTAGAAAAGCTTATTGCTTATACCAGTAAAGGTAGAGGGTATGGGAAACAGAATGAAGAAAGTAAACTTTGATTAATCAGTAGAAGAGAGAAAAGCAAGATAAAAGATCCTATTAAAGGTTAAATGAAAATGAATAGAAATAGATAAAAGTAATAAAAAAGAACAAACATGAAAAAGATGAAAAAAAACCCAGGAAAATAAAGGAAAGAAAAGTAAGATGGAAAAAATAAAAGAAGAAAAGATACAGAGAAAGAAAAATGGAGAAAAAAAACCCAAGCTCCCAGAACCAATGAAGAAAAAAGAAAAAAAATTGAGTTAAAGAAAATTCCTCTGTGGTTTTGAATGAGTGCTTTTGTTCAGGATCTGCAGTCTTGGAATCCAACAAGTCACTGTTTTCTTCACCTAGCTTTATGACCTGTGTGGGTCTGTGAGCTGCCTCCAGTCCCTAGCCATATGCCTCTCTGTCCATGCACTGCAGATTATGATACCTCAGTGGAAGCTGAGGTATGTCTTCACTCACTTTGGTAGATGTGGATAGCAATCAGTCCACTGATCTCTGCTAGATATAGGCAGCAGGGTAGGTGTTCAAGCAGACCACTGGACTTAACATCAGCACTTTCAGATCCAGCCACCTCCAAAAGCCATACTCACTGGCTTGGCTTCTGGCCATGAAGAGCAGGGTCCTGTTTCCTTCCCAGCCTAAGTCTAAACTTCTCAAGCGGTCTACATCTAGCCTGACCTTCTCTACTGCTGTCTCTTATAATTGTCTATCACTAACTCAGTGTGTTAGGGTAACATGGGAAACCTTGAAATGACATTATTCTGTGGTTTTTCTGTGCCTCAGTCTTTTTTAAGTTTTTAATTTAAATTTATTGGTATAATTTAGGTATATGTGATCACACTCATTATAGGGAATTTGTATCTGTACATGATAAAGATATATCAAGATAGATTCCTCTTTTTTTTTTCTATTCCATCTCCTTGTTTCAAACCCTCTTCTCTTCCTGGTTCACAAAACTCTGTTTTCATTTGATCTTCCTTTTCTCATATTTTTCCTTCCAACCTTCCTCCCTCCTTCCTTCCTTCCCTCCCTCCCTCCCACCTTCCTTCCTTCCTTCCTTCCTTCCTTCCTTCCTACCTTCCTTCCTTCCTTCCTTCCTTCTCTCCCTCCCTCCCTCCCTTCCTTCCCT